CTCTCTCTCTCTCTCTCTCTCTCTCTCTCTCTCTCTCTCTCTCGTTTTAAATTCTCTTCTTTATGTTTGATAATTATCTTCTATGTCAGGAGATAGTGGTTAAGTTTTCTTTTAAAATAATTTTACTTTAATAAAAACCATGAGTCAATTTAAAAGAGTAAACAGATAATAGTACAGTGGCACAAAGGTAAGCCAAAAAATCATCCCGGTGGTTATCAAATAACTGCAGTTTGGGAAAAGTTGTGTTAAGCTATAATACTTCCATTTTGATAACTAAATTTATTGGTGACTTTTAAATAACTTCATTGAGATATAATTCACCCATTTAGTGGTTTTTAGCATATTCATGAAGTTGTGCAACCATCACCACAATCAATTTTATAACATTTCATCATCCCCAAAAGTAACCCATACCCTTTAGCAATCAGTAATCATTTTTCCTTCTAATCACAGTCCCACTCAACCAATTTAGGCAACTACCAATTTACTTTCTGTCTCTATGGGTTTATTCTGGACATTTCATATTAATGGAATCATATAATAAGTAATCTTTTGTGACTGCCTCCTTTCACTTAGAATAATGTTTTCAAGGCTCATCCATATTGTAGATGTATCAGCACTTCATTATTTTGTTAATAATCTATCATATGGATATACGATATTTTATTTATCCATTCATCAGTTGATGGACACTAGTTTCCACTTTTTTGGCTCTTATGAGTAATGCTGCTATGAACCTTCATATAGAGATTTTTGTGTGGACATATGTTTTCATAGAAGTGGACTTGCTGGGTCGTATGGTAATTCTATGTTTAATCTTTTGATGAACTACCAGACTGTTTTCCACAGCAGCTGCATCACTTTACATTCCCACCAACAGTATATAAGGACTCCAGTTTCTCCACATCCTCACCAGCACTTGTCAGCACTTGTTATTATCTGGGGGTTTTTTTATTCTAGCCATCCTAATAGGTGTGAAGTGGTATCTCATAATGGTTTTGATTTGCATTTCCCTGATGGCTAATGGTGTTTAGCATCTTTCCATGTGCTTATTGCCTGTTTGAATATCTTCTTTGGAGAAATGTCTACCCAGATCCTTTTCCGTTTTAAAGTTGGGTTATTTGTCTTTTTATTGGGGTCTTCACCTTTTTGCATCATTGTTAGGATCTGCTTGTGAACTGGAGAAAGAGAGAGGTTCAGGGTGGAAAAAAACAAGCTGGATTCCCTCCCACCCCACCCCATCTACCTGGATTGAGGGCCTGTATAGTAGAAAAGTCGCTCCCACGTCGTGTAGGTGGGTATACTGTGGCTTTCAGGAAAAGAAACTGACTGGCCAGCCCTAACTGTCTGAAGCCAGGTCCCATGTTTATTCTTCCAAGGATTCCAGAGTTCCTTGCAGCTCTCGTCCCAGGAAGCAGCTGAAATTCTTCCCCCATCCCTAGCTTGTCCGCCTGTCTGTTCATTCCATTTTTGTAGCCATCTGAGGCCCTGCTCACCTGTCTGTCCACAGGCTGCCTCTTTGCCTGGAGACTCTGCTCTTACCTGGAAATCGGTGCCAAGGGTGAGTGAGACCCAGAGGATGAAGAGGCAAAGTGTGGAAGTGAAGAGAAAGTATGGAGAGCAGATAACTGGGAAGAGAGGGATCTGGGAGTGACCATAGACAGGGTGCTGCTTCTCTGCAACTGGGATTTTTGAAGGCTTTTGGCCAAGGTCCCTACTAACGCCATTCTCATGCCCTTAGAGGGACAGAGCCAGGTGGGAGAGCAGCAGGCCAGGCCCCTCCAAGAGCTCATCACCCCAGCCTTCCAATCCTGGCAAGGTGTGCTCCAGCAGCTTGTGCCTCAAGGACAGACCAGAAGGGCTGGAGCAGAGGCTGGGCCTGTCAGACATAGAAGTAGAGAGGGAATCCCCAACTTGACATTAAAAGCTTCCCCAAACATCTCTGCCTGAGCTTTCTCATCATACCTACCCTCT